AATAATGGTAAATCAAATACAAATTACAAAACAGAAAAGAGTGGAAAACAGGAGACATAATTGTCATACCAATACCAAGGTGAGCATTCATGCTTGCATATCTTGCAGTTCCAGTTAAATTCTTATTTTCTCTGTAATTAAAATATCAAGGGTGAGACAGATTTAAGATAAAGATCAAAATATATAAGAAACACTTAATCTAGAAGCTATTAGAGGTAGCAAGAGAAGATTAGAGAAAAAGGACAACGAAACAATAATAATAAAATTACCATTACATCTGTGGACAACGATAAATTATTCCAAAAGATTGACCTATAAGGAATATGCTGTTGTGGTATCTCTATACTTCTTAGCCAGACCAAAATCAATGATGAAGACATATATTGAAGTAAAAACAACTGACGAATCAAAAAAAAAAAGAGAAAGTGCCAAGGAATAGAAACAAATAACATGTTTCAAAAACAAAAAAGGATACCCCATTCGCACGCCTTCCTAAGCCCATCAGAAAGTTGTCTGGTGTGATATCTCGATGTAGAAATAACTTGGAATGAACAAATTCAATCCTATTTAACTGATAGCGAATACATGATTTCAGGGAAAAAAAAAAAATGAAACCATAATTTGTATAATATCAGAAATATGAGCAATGAGAAAAATCCCACCATCTGGTCTGCAAGCTTAAGAACAGTCCTCAGTGACAATTTCCTACTGCAGAAGTTGAATAAATCCTTGAGGCTAGACCCCAGTAAATCTATAACAAGGACATTCGTAGACCCCTTCAATACCAAACCATTTAACATTTGCAATTCCAGCTGCCAAAGATTGAGACAGTATGACGCAAAATTAATTGAATCAGGAAAACAATCAGATTATTGAAAATACTAATCCTTTGCTTCTTAGAATCCATTCCAAGGAAAAAGTACTTCCTCCCTGTAGCTCTTATATAATTTTGATTCATACAGCAATTGAGGATGCTTTGTCTTCACGTTTTCCTGAGAAACATATACATTATGAGAGCCGATGCGGAGAGGAATATAATTTTAAAAAAATCCATAAAAACCACAAATATCAGAATGAATGAGAAAAAGAACAATCTGCAGGAATGTTCATACTGACTCACACTGCATAGTCACTAACCAGTCCTAGTTACCAATGTTCAAGTAATTATAATCACAATTCATGGTTTCGACATTCTTCAAGCACAATAGATGACGTTCAAAACTGCTTAGTTCATGCATGCTGTCTCTTAAAAAAACACATTATACTACAAAGTCTCAAGACAAGCTAAGCAATTGCTTCAGAAGTAAAAACAAGTAATAGTACCCCATTACTTAATTTGCCATACATCATCTAAAAATTAAAAAAAATAATAATAATGAACAACCCAAGAAGCACAAGTTAACGAAATACCCACCAACTTAATTGCGACCTCTCCGTTCGTTTGAATATTGGTACGTGAAATTTCTCTTAAAAAAATAATAATCATCAAAGAAAGGGAAATCTGATGGCCGTACGAGGGAAGCGTTGATTGAGGTTAGGGTTTATTGATTAGCGGGAATCAACGGTAAGGTGGGGAGTGGAATAAAAACGGAAACTTTCTCTTGAAGCAGATTTAAGAGAGAGAAAAAGAAATGAGTAAGGAAATCCCTAGTCCATAATTTGTTGAGATACGACGTCGTTTTTTGAAATTTTTTGTTTTTTGTTTTTTGTTTTTTTTTTCGCTTTATTATAAAGGATTATGCAAAATCAATAACACTTATTAGTGTTCCATCGAAAATAATAATAATAATAATAATAACACTTATTAGTGCTTAATTGTGAAAAATGATAATAAAAAATTTAAATATTTTTAGTAAATTAATATTTTATTAATGACATTTAAATAATTTCATATACAGTTTTGGTAATAATTTTTATTTTCTTATTGTTATAATGAATTATACATTAAAATATTAGAACAAATTATATAAATAATTTAATAATAATTTTCTTTCAATAAAAATAAAAAATTTTAAATTCGAGTTTTATGATATATAAAGTAGAGTAAATTAAAAAATAAAAAAACATTACTTCTAATTATGTAATTCTAAATAAAATAAAATATTAGATTAGAGATAGCTATTCTTTCCTTTTTATCTCCATTCTTTTCATTATAAAAATATTCAATTCTATAATCCCATCCCACTCCATTCCTCTCACTAAAAAAAGAGCACCCCCCAAGGAGAAAAAGCTTTAAAAAGAGCATCTGCGGTTTACCGTAAAAATCCTGATTTCCTTAGCACACAAGCAAACATTTTTCCAACAAATTATCCAGCTTCAATTACGGCATTACACATCGGCAAAAAAATAGACCTGACAAACAGGTTGGATTGGATGGGTTCAAATTGGGTCATTTTAGATTTTAGTTTGTTTGGATTAAGTCATTTCAGATGTCAAGTTAAAGAGATTAACCCATGATTCACCCACACAAGT